GCTGAGGGGCCCACTGAAAAGTCCAACGGGGGCTTAAAGGGCCCGGGTGCCACACACCCGCTTAACTGATGGGCACACTGAGGAGAGAGCATCTGAAGGGTTATGTGTACACTTCTAGAGAAGGTGTACCCAGGAGACTGGATCGGAGCCTGCTCCCTGACTCTGGGCACGTCTTGGTGACCAGGACTTCTGCAGGTCTCTGTGGGGCAACCAGGCCCTCGGCACAAGCCCTCTGGGGATAGTGTGGCCCAGGGGTAGGTCCTTGGCCAGCAGGTTGGGGATCTGAGTGTAAGTCCTGGCTGGTCCTTGGTTGCTGAGGATCCCAATCCCTTCCCCATCTAGACACCTCTGAGCCTGAGCCCCACCAACTCTGGACAGCCAGTGTTGGCCGAGAAGGTCAGGCGTGCCTACCACGTTGCAGCTGACCTCCTGTTGAGACAATACGCGCAGGGGTGTCTATGTCTCCACACTGCACCAGAACAAGTTCCCCTCACTTTATCTCAAAACTGAAGATCAGGCAGCACCACGCCCTGTCATGCACCTTTCTGGATTTCTCAAAGCATTCCCATGGTTTTCATAACACATGATTTAGTACAGAGGTCACAGACTATGGCCTAAGGTCCAATCTGGCCTATGGTCTGTATCTTTACTTCCCATGAGCCAAGTATGGTTCATATTTTTAAATGGTTGAAAAAAACTCAAGAAGAATTGTATTTTGTGAAAAATTATATGACATTGAATTTCACAAATAACTTATTCATAAATAAGTTTTTTTGGGGACGGGGCCATACCCCCTCACTTATACTGTTTACACTGCTGTTACACTGTAGCTGCTTTTATATGGCAGGATTGAATAGTTGTGACATAGACTGTGTGACCCACAATTTGCACTACCTGGTTTAGCTTTTTAACTGATCCCTGGTTTAATGTAAAAGGCAGGTTACAGAATCACCCTATTTGCATAACCACCCTGTTATGAACTGAATGCTGTGTCACCCCAAAATTCATATCATTGAAACCTTAACCCCATAGTGATCATATGGAGGTGAGGCTGTGGGGAAGTAGTTATTAGGTCAATGAGGTTATGGGCGCAGTGGGTGGGTGGTGGTCTGCATAATGAGATTGATGTGCTCATAAGAAAAGGAAGAAAGACCAGAGCTTTCTCTCTCCTGCTATAAGGACACAGAAAGAAAATGGTCGTCTGCAATCCAGGAAGAGAGCCCTCACCAGGAGCCAAATCTGTCAACAGGTTGATCTTGAATTTGTCAGGCACTAAAACTATGAGAAATAAATCACTGTGGTTTAAGCTACTCAATCAGCAGTATTTTGTTATAGCAGCCCAGGTAGACCTTATACACTCTATGTACATAAATTGAGGGAAAAAAATATATCAAAACAGGGATTATCTCTACGTGCTCAGATCACATGCAATTATTTTATTTTTTCACCAAATATGTTAAACATAAAAGTATAAAGAGAATATTAATGGCAGTAGGAAGATAAAATGGTGGGTGTTCAGCCTCTCTCCTGTGGGCCAGGCGCTGTTGTGGGACGTGCTTCATGTCACCCATTTCCCATCCACTGCTGCTCTACAGATGGAGAAATGAAACACAAGGGACTTAGGAACTTGTCCAAGGTCATTCTGTCCCAGGAGGCACTTTGCATATCTGTGGTGAGACACACAGAAGAAGCCACAGGCAATGGGCTGAAGATGGGGTTGACTCAGGAAGAGGCTCTATCTAAATCTATGGAGATCAGTCCTAACAGAGGATGAGGTGTGGGAGGCATCAGACGTCCTCACCACCCAAGATCGCCGTGGGTCCAGTGGCATATTAGAAGTGTCTGGAACGGCAGGGCAATCACTGCGCTATGGAGGCTGGCACTCAGGAGCTTTTGGGCACAGTGTTCCCGAGTGTCCCCTCAAGCCTGCCTTGGCCTGGAACGTACCCACGTCCAAGAGGAGAGGCTGGCTGCCTGGACATGATGCCTTCACACATGGAGCCCTATGCACTAGAGAACAGGCGGTGACCATGTTGGCACCAGTGTTGGCACTGTGGGTTGAGATGACTGTGGGGTATGCAGGACAGGGAAAACTAGGGGTCATGCTGCCATCCTTGGGACAGGATCCTCAGCACAGAGAAAGGAGGCATGGACATAAGCAGGGGCAAATAAAACTCCCAGCAGTTCTGACTTTGAATAAAAAGTCTCAGCATGAACTCATGATGCATTTTTATGACAAACAACAGCACATTTCCTGACTCTGCTGAAAATGCCCAGAACAATGAACAATCCTAGGCGCTCCCTAGTGCCTGTGACTGTTTCACAGTTTTCTGGTGACTGTGGTTTCTAGAAATCACCCCCAGGAGGAACAGAGGATCCCTGGAGAAACGGCCTCTTCCAGGTCCAGGGCAGAGCCCGGTTGTTGTAATGCCCTTGCAGCCCAGAGAACATCAGAGACTAGAAGGGTGATATCAGAAAGAGTCAACTGGTTGGAGATGGCACATCCACGTGTCAGTAAAAGCAAAAGCAAAACTGAGGAAAACATATCAACCTTGTTTAAACTCACGAGCTTGCAGAGTCACTAAAAACCAAACAAGAAACCCTAATTGGTTACCACAGGAAGGGAACAATAAACCACCCATCATTATGAAAATGACAAATGAAAAGAAAGACCCAAACTTTTACCCTACCTTTCTTCCATGAACCGCATGTGTAGCATGTGTAGTTTCTCCTAAGGAAAGCACTCTAGCTGTAGGTGGAGATGACATTCGAACATCACCATTGTGTGACCCTACTTAACTAGTGGGCCCAGTAGCAGCCATCAACAGCCACTAAGATGACAGAGGCAGCTGGGCAGGGCATGCCTTCTGACCCAGGGCATACCTTCTGACATCCAGGAAGAAACTTTGTCCATGAAAATAAAACCCAAACTTGGTTAAATACCTAAATCACACAACCAATTTACAGGAAATACAGAGGACAGAAGACATGTTGAACAGCACCACAGGGTGGTGGTGGTAAGAAAAATCCAGCCCTTCCCAGGACAAAGGACCTCATTCCTTCACAGACAGATTCCGCAGGGTAGGGGCAGGGAGAGGGAGGCTTCAGGTCAGAAGACACTCGGGTGGGTTCTGCAATGTGTGGGCCAATGTGGACTCTGACTTGAAAGAAGGTTTTTTATGAAAGGCATTAATGGGACCACCGCCAGCTTGAACGCAGACTTGACATCTGATGACATGGAGAGATCACGGCTCACTTGTCAGGGCGTGATTGTGGTGCCATGGGGGTTTTGTAACCAAAGATCTCCTGGAGACACAGACTGAGCTCCAGAGATGGCTGTTGCCATGCCCTGGATGGGCCTGGGAGTAGCCAGAAGGGGTGGGGGTGAGGGGGTGGCTGCAGTTCAGAGAGGCACAGGCTGCCTGGGGGCTGCTAGGGCTACCCCTGCCCTGTCCACACACCTTGCCTTTTTAGGTTTCTGTAACAAGAATTAGGCCTGTCCCTCTCAACACCATGCTCAGCAATCACACCGCACGAAGACCCCTGTTCAGCAGGGCTTGTGGGACCCTTTGGCCTCTCCTCCCTGGGCCAAGATTGTGTGTTCGCCATCTGAAACACAGGCTGCAACACTTGGAAGAAGAAGAGCTCCGTGACTGAAGCATGTGTTGCTTGGAAGTACAAGAGTGTGCAGACTTGACATGCCCTAGGAACCGGCTCCGCAACACAAGTGCTCCCCAGTGGTCATGACGGGGAGGGGGAGACCCCAGTTTCTGAGCAGACTTTGGGCAGGCCCTGTGACAGGGACGCCACGGTGCTCCTGTGCCCTCGTCTCACTGGGTGGTGATTAGCTTTTTGGCTGCACACCAATGTTTGCAGGAGGCAGACCACTGGGTCCTCTTCTGGGGACCCAAAGCGAGGACATGGGGGGCAAGGAGTCCAGAGTACAGGCTGTTGTGGGGGATGGGAATCAGGACTGAAAGTGCTGATTGTCTCACGTGTACCCAGGAATGGCCACCCAGCCCTCAGATATGATCTTCCCACCATCCTAGCTGTGACCCATAATGCGGGATCTCTTCTGTGGCTCGTGTCAACCCTCTGGGTCACTTGTCATACTGCAGAAATCCCCATGACATGTCTGTGTCTCACACTGGCCTGAGGTCAGGCCCTTCACCTGTCCCTGTGTGCCTCGCCCCATGGCACAGGGACTGGAGTGCAGATGTGCTCAACTGTGCTAACTACATGGCTGGACACTGACTCGGAGCAGGGTGGGGCACGGCCAGGGCGCAGATATCCTAGTCACAAGTGCTGCAACCCACGGCCTACCAGGCCGTGCGCCTACTCCAGTCATGCTGTATGTGGCTTCCAGGTTCCACTAGTGACTTATAATGGATTTCAGATATGCAATGCTCTGAGGTTTTCCAGGAGGGATAAAGGTATGACGAAACACTCCTGTCTCCACGGGACAGCACAGTGAATCCAGAATGCACTCCGGGCCCTGCTGTGCCACTGGGAGGGCTGCCGTGCAGACTCGCAAACAGTAAAACCTGGGACTCGAGCTCCTGCGTGCCGTGGCTGCATTGGGGTTGAGGGTGGGTGGATGGGGATACCACATGGCACCACGCTCGCATGAGCAAACCTGAGCATCTTCGAAGGTGTATCTGCCGCCATCCTTGAGGTTCTGGCTGGTGACCTCATAGCTATGGGAGTCCAGGTTGATGGCGCTGGGGGCCCCCGGGGCCAGGAACTCCCGCCAGATGTCCTCCACACGCCCGGCCACGTCCTGCAGGCACTGCTTCTTTAGCTCCTGAACGGCCAGCCAGAACCTGCAGCAGAAGCAGAACCCGTCAGTCTGGGCAGGCCCACGGAAGCCACATGCTGCAACCCACCTGCCTGGTACACCTGTGGGCTTAGAAAGGGGCCCCCTACGGTGGAGACAGAAAAGAGGTGCCTGCTAACATTTTTGTGCACTTCTGGCTACTAGAAAGGGCCTTTCCACCACCACACCCAGACCCTCAGCCTGGCCCGGCTGTCGCCTATGGCAGCATTGTTCATTGTGACAGGGCCATCTGTGTGTTGCAGGGTGTTTAGCAGCAACCGTGGCCTCCACCCGCCTGATGCCAACACACCCCTTCCCGAGCCATGGCTCCTGGAAACATCTCCAGACAGCACCAATGCTCCCAGGGCTGGAATCCTGTGCTGGGCCCCACGGCTCTGCACACATGCCCACACAGACCATGGAATCCCTCTGCAGAGTCTACAAGGACCTGTCAGAGGCATCAAAATGAGGGCGAAGTCACAGAAGCAGGTGGAGCCCTGGAATCTCACAGGATACTTGGCTGGAATGACTCAGCCTTGCTTGTCACAGATGGAGGACTGAGCCAATGCCATCAGTGTTCCACAGGGTGCTGGGCACATGGAGCGGGGGTGCAACACATGGCTTTCAGCCTGAAGATGGGCTCATGGGATCCATAGTGAAGGGGTACACGGGCTTTCTCTGCAGAAAAACTCCCTAGGGAGGCCCGGAGGGAAGCTGCCCATGTCCACGGGAGCCCTGAGACCCGGCATCTACAGAACCGGGAGTGGCCCTGGAGCCAAAGCTGGACCTGGGTGGGCACCGGGGGCCTCTGCCAGAGAACAGGCCAGTTGCTGTCCTGAGACTAGGACAGGTCCTGTGGCAGTCACAGGTGGCCGGCAGAAAGGAAGGGACGGGACAGCTGAACCACGACATAAGGACAGTATCTCCAATCTGTCATCACAGTCATCCAAAGTAAGAGGTACTAGTTTTCTAAAGGTTAGGCATATCTTTCTCTGTCTGTGCTGTCTTTGGACCGTGTGCATGGCCCAAAGGCTCCACCCAGGGGCATAAGAGGGTACTGCAGCCCCATTTCTATGATGCCAGAAGTGTGTGTTCCTGTGTGCTTGTGTGCGTATATGTATGCATGTGTACACATGTGCTTGAGTGTGCATATGCATTTGTGTGTGCATATATGCATGTGTATGCATGTGTGTGCACATGTGTGTGGGTGCACATGTGTGTGTGCATGTGCGTGTGTGTGTGTGTTCCCAGGATGTGGGGTTCCAGCTCTTCACTCTGATGTGCTTTCGGGTCCCGGGGGGGTTGGGGGTTGCATGGACTCCTAGGTTCAATCTCCATGGGTGGCCTGCAGGGGCTGCCAGGGCTCCTCCTATGGCCATGTAGCATCCCCACCCATCTACTCTGCCTCTGTCACCCACAGGTGCTCAGCCTCATGTCCCTCTGGCTCCCAGAGCAAGGATGCAGCTATGTTACCCTGATCTGGGCTCAGAGGGGTGGAGGGAGAGGGCAAAGGAGCTGCAACCTGTCCACTGTCCAGAGAGGCCACAGTTAAGACCAGGTGTGGGTCTCCACCGTCCCCAGGCCATGCCCTGGTTCCTGGGCCTTGCGCCTACCGCTTCAGGTGGGGGGAAAGAGTCCATCCAACCCCCACCCCCGGGACCTGAAAGCACATCAGAGTGAAGTCTGGACAGGAATAGGAAGTTTCCCAGGCCCTACACATCCTTCCATCTTGTGTCCATTTCTCAGATGGGGAAAGAGACACCCAGGAAGGTGCAACAAGGCAAGATGACAGTATAGATGGGGTGAGGCAGAGCTGTGCCTCTTGGTCTGATGGCGCAGAGTTGTGAAGTCCCTCCTCGCTTTATGTGGCTCTCCTGAGGGTTCCCTGCAAGAAGATCACTAGGATCCCAATGGTAAATCAGGAGAGAGCTGGAACCCCACATCCTGGGGACACACACACGCACATGCACACACACATGTACACATGGAGGAGGGGCTAGAGGCTTACAGGGGACCCACCTGCTGCCAAGAGAGCCCACAGGCATTCTTGCCCAGAAGATGCTTGGCCGGCGGGTGGGCAGTGGAGGAAACTGGCCCTAAGGAGAGAAGATGTGGTGGCTTCTCCAAGGTCTGGCAGGGCGCTAAGAGGCCACTTTTCAGACACCAAGGCTAGGGGTACTCTCAACTGTGTGCAGCATATAGGACTGGCTCACACAGGGGCCGCCAGGGCTGAGTCTGGTTGGATGCCCTCCGGGCGGGCATCCTCTCCATGCTAGAGGGCTGCCATGGCCAGCACCACATGGGCCATCAGCACCACGTGGGCCATCAGCTCTGCTTCTTTGGCCTTGCTCAGACTGCTCCGAGGGGGCCCTGAACCCTTGGGGGTCTGCAGGCTGCCTGTCTGTGGACTCCCGAGGCTGGGTCCCTTCTGCAGGGTGATTTGGGACCCACCTGATTGCACACCATGTGGCTGGGTGTAGGGAAGGTCTGGAGCTGACATAATGCCCACCTTAGGGCCAGAGCTAATACACTTCCACATGAATATTAAAAGGTTCTTAGCCAGGCTCAGTGGCTCAGCCTGTAATCCTGCGCTTTGGGAGGCTGAGGTGAGTGGATTGCCTGAGCCTGCGGGTTCGAGATCCGCCTGGGCAACTTGGCGAAACCTCATCTCTACAATAAATCAAAAAATTAGCTGGGTGTGGTAGCGCCCGCCTGTAGTTCCAGCTACTTGGAAGGCTGAGGTGGAAGGATCGCCGGAGCCCAGCAGGTCGAGGTTACAGTGGTCGGGAGCAGCCACTGCACTCCAGTCTGGGTGACAGAATGAGACTCCAACTCAAAAAAAAAAAGAGAAGAAAATTAAAAGGTTCTTTTTGTCAGAGAAAGGCAAGAATTCTTTTTAAGTACAAGGAAATATAGCAGGCATCGGGGGGAGAGAGCAGGCATGTCCAGGTGGCAGCCATCCTGCTCATGTGGGGTCTCCCGGCTGTCTGCTTTTGTGTTGACCTCCTTGTCTTTTGCAGGTGACAGTAGAATCCATCACAATAGCACAGCACCTATCTGTGTGTCTGTCACTGCTCCTAAGAGCCTTCATATCGGAGCAGCTCTGGGTGGTGTTTCGTCTTCAGGCCCCTTGGGCGTGCGCTGGGAGACCCAGTTGGTGGCCACACTGCAGGGACACGGCCACTGCCCTCTACACACCTGCAGGCCTGGCAGCTCAGAAATTCCTGCTCTAACTGGAAGCCTGCTGGCCCCAACTGCCTATCTTGCTGGAGGCCACAAGGGCTGGCCTTGGGGAGGCCGCCTGTCCTGCTTGCCCTTCCTTCCTGGACTGTCACAGCAGCCACAGGGGCAGCCTTGGATGACCTCTGATCCCTGCTGAAGGCTGACAGACTGGCAGGCAGGTTCAGAAACACAATGGGACATGACTTGGGGACGGGATGTGGCCTTGCCACCCTAGGGCCTCCTTTCTCCCCAAGACTGCTGGAGCAGGAGGAGACAGCAGCCCGGGACCACTCTTCATGGTGTGGCCTGGGCAGCTCCAGTGATCAGTTCACACATCTCTCCGTAGGCTGGAATCTCACGGACTAAGAAGGACAGCATTCCACTTCTTCCAGAGGAGAGTCCGCTGTAGGCGGAGGGAGTTTTTGTGCCCTCTGCTGGCCAAGCAGAGACCAGGAGACCGTTTGAACCTGGTTAGTCCCGTGGGTGAATCTGGTGCCACGTTAGAATCAGGTGTTACACCCTGAAGCCAGGCTATGCCATGGGCAGCAGCTGAAACATTGCAGGTGGCAGAGTGACTTGAGGGTCTCCAGTTCTGATGAATTGCTTGGCTCGGTAGTGGTGACTCCCACTCGTGCATACTCACACATGCGCTCATATGCTCACACACTCACCAGGACCAGTGAGCCTTCTGAGGTCTTCCTAGGATCTGGGTGACCATGGAGACTTAGACTTCGGGGACTTGGTGACTGTGCGCTTTTAATCGCTTCCCTGCATTCGACACTGCTGGACTCGAATCATCCAAGGTGGGGACAACTGTGCTCTCGAGAGATGCCGCCACTCATAAAAAATGCACAGGGGATGCTCGGCTGAGAGGCTGGCTCTTAACTAGTGCCTTGCTGTGCAGCAGAGGGCATCAGCCAGGGAGATGTGGGAGGGAGTGCCACAAGGAGCCACTGTCACAATTTGGGAGAATGCACTGAGAAGGGGGAGGGCAGGAGGAACTCCCTGCTCAATGTCCTGAACCTGTCCTGTGGACATGAAACTGCGTGTCCCCAAGGCATCCTCCTGCATCTGTCTCTGTGGCCAGTGGAGCCCAGGCTGGGTTCAGGGGGTCAGAAGAGGAGAATGAGAGACCCAGCTAGAAATCCTGCAGCTGAAGGGAGAGCCCTGGAGATGAACCCCTGATGTTACAGACATACCTGGAAGAATGTGACAATCATAGAAATCACCCCCGTCACCAAGGGATCCAGGTAGCACTTGAGGTCTTTGTCCAAGGTTCCAGGTAGCACTCGGGGCTCTGGTCAAAGGATCGAGGTGACACTTAGAACCCCTGTCCAAGGATCCAGGTGGCACCCGAGGCCTCCATCCAAGAATCCAGGCGGCACTTGGGGCCCCCGGCACTCGGGGCATCCGTCCAAGGATCCAGGTAGCACTTGGGGTCTCCATCCAAGGATCCAGGCAGCATCCGGGGACTCCATCCAAGAATCCAGGCGGCACTTGGGGTCCCCGGCACTCGGGGCCTCTATTCAAGGATCCAGACGGCACTCGGGGCCTCCCTCCAAGGATCCAGATGGCACTCAGGACCTCCATCCAAGGATACAGGTGACACTCGGGGCCTCTGTCCAAGGATCTAGGCGAAATTCAGGGCCTCCGACCAAGAATCCAGGTGACACCTGAGGCCTCTGCCAAAGGATCCACTGGACACTCCAGACCTCCATCCAAGGATCCAGGTGACACTTGGAACCCCCGTCCAAGGATCCAGGTAACACTCAGGAACTCCATCCAAAGATCCAGGTGACACTCAGCCCTCTGCCAAAGGATCCAGGTGGCACTCATGGCCTCTGTCCCTTGTTCTGATGGCTTTGGTATACATTCAGCCTCCTACCTGCTTAACTGGCACTGCGTGTGTGGGAACAACATCATGTTGTAAGCACTCTTGCTAGGGAGCTGCAGGGATACAGGAGACAGGCATGGGGCACTTGGCTGCTCATCTAGGAGAGTTCTTATCTCTCTCTCTATGTGCTCTGATGTCCATGCCTGGTCCCCTATACTGGGTAGGAGGGGCAGCCCCTGTGTGGCCAACACAACTGCTGGTGGGGCCTTGGGTGGTGCCTCGCCACACAGCTCACAGGGTCGTCAGGACCATGTGGATGGGTGCCTGCAGGCTGCCCTGGACACTGAGTCAGCCCTGCATCCTTGGAGCTCATGGTCAGTGCAGGCCATGCCAGAGAGAGATGGAATGAACAGAAAAGGGAAGGGGATCCTGTGACGGGAGCGTGACTCTAACCTGGAGCCTCTCATGTGTCCTGTCATGTAGATCTCATGAAGATGTTATCCCGCTTTGAACAGGATTTAGAACCCCGGACAACCCTCTCCTTCTGGTTCTGTTTTCCTGACACCCTTTCCTGTCCTGGGTCGAGGCATCCTCCCAGGTCTGAATTCATGTCTGCGTGCTGGGGTATGACTATGCTCTGGCATGCCAACACATGCTCACATGCACACTCACACGTGCTCACATATGCATGCTCTCATAGTGCTCACAAGCAAGCTTACATGCATGCTCACACATGCTCAAACACACATTCACATACACTCTCACATGCTTGAACACACACTCTTACATGCTCACACACACTCACATGGATGCTCTCACACAGACATGTGCTCCTACATGCTCACACATGCTCACACACTCACAAGCTCACACACATAAGTTCACATGCACACACACATTCTCACACACATGTTCACAAACACACTCCCACATACTCACACACATGCTCGTACATGCTCATACACACACATGCTCATATACATTCACACTTATGCTTACACACTTATTCTCACACATGCACACATGCTCACATATACAAGCTCATACAAATACTCTTACAAGCACACACGTGCTCTTACACATGAACGCACATGAGCTCACACACATGCTCCCATGCTCACACATGCATTCATGTACACTCTCATGTATGCTTACACATGCACTTACATGCACTCACACACAGTGCTGTCACACACATGTTCTAACATGCTCTTACACTCATAATGCACTCACACACATGCTCACACACACTCTCACACGTGCCCACACATGAACTTGTATGTTCACACACATGCTCTCACATGCTCACACACTCACACATGCACTCTCACATGCTCACACATGCACTCACATGCTCACACACTCATGCAAACTCTCATGTATGCTCACACATGCATTCACACACGTGTTCACACGAACTCTCGTGCATACTCACACATGCACTCGTATGCTCACACACTCATACACATGCTTTCACACGCTCACACACTCACACATGCACTCTCACATGATCATACTCACACATATGCTCACACATGAAAACAATGTTTTCACACACATGCTGTAACATGCTCACACACTTACATATGCTCACCCATGCACTCATATGCATTCACACACAGGCTAACGCACACTCTCACGTGTGTTTACATACATGCATTCACCCAGATTCAGTGCTGCCCTCCTGGCGCAGGGAAGGGGCTTGCAGAGGCACAGGGTGTGATGCAGGAGATGGCCCCAGATAGCCCGGGATTCACTTCTGGGAGCTCTGAGCTGGAGTATGATGCATGTTCTATGAAGCCAATTGAATTGATATGTGTCTCTGCAGAGCTCTCCAGAATGCACGATCCGGACAGAGTACGTGGTGGCTGAGCAGGTAGATGCTCCTGGGACCCTCGTGACAGCTAGACCCTGTGGTCGTCCTTCAGGTTCCTGGCAGCAGGGTCCATGCAAGTGCCTCGAGCTGCCATGGAAGGTTCTGCCTCTCACATGGCGCTTGCCTCCTGGTGTGGCCTGGAGGGTGATCTGGGTAGCACCAGGGGATGGTGCTGGAAGCTGGAGCACCTGTTACAAGCACGTCATGAGGCATGGATGTGAAGCTCTGGGGCATGTTTGGAATCATGTGTATTACGGGGAGGAACTCGCGTTGTATCTGGTTTAAATGGACATGCAGGGGCCTAGGTAGGTACTGACAAGGGCGGGTGGTGGTGGGGACCGACTCATCTGCAGGTGTGGGGAGCCTCCTCCACTGTGCAGTCTTCTAGAACATTCTCCCTCCCTCGCTGTCTTCTGATCTCCTGCGCTTTCTCCAGAGTCCAGTCTATGACTTCCCTGGTCTGGCTTAACTTGTTCTTGCTCTTGAAACACTTTCAAGGTGGTTCTTGGAGCTTACACTCACTCACGCACATTCACAATGTCAGGGTTCCCTGTGATTCTCCCTTAAGGACCTACAGGTTGCTGTAGGCAGAGATCACATGCCTTGACCTGCGTCCCCCAGAACCTTGCGGGGCCTGGCGCATAGGTGTGTCATGAGTGCACTGGACTGATGTGTGCGACTGAGATGGCCTCCAACTTCAGGCAAGCAGCATGAGGTCCGCACATTAACATGGAGGAGCAGTCTCTTGCCCTCGAGACATGCTCTGGCATTTTAAAGTCAACAAATATTTGAACATTATTAAAATTCTTTTAAAGAAGATGGCATTGGAAGGTGGGGATTTACCCTGTATATAAATAGGAACCTGGTACAAAGAAAAGGGAGGGAGGAGGG